TGCCTCAGCCTCCCAAGTAGCTGGGATTACAGGCATGCACCACCACGCCCAGCTAATTTTTGTATTTTTAGTAGAGATGGGGTTTCACCATGTTGGTCAGGCTGGTCTCGAACTCTTGACCTCGTGATCCGTCTGCCTCAGCCTCCCAAAGTGCTGGGATTACAGGCATGAGCCACGGTGCCCAGCCTCAGCTGCAAATCTTAACAGCACAAATTTAATCAATCCAGAGAAGGGAACGTAGAACCACTATGCCTTTCTCACCTGTTACACAGTTCTAAGAATAGGGCACTACAGGGAGGCAAAAATCCAAATTTCACTGGAATGGGGAAAAAGGATACTTTGGATTGCCAAATAAACTTTTAATAAAACTGTGTAGCCATCCCATTGAAAACATTACCTTCAGCTAGCATCAAGCACTTAGCTTCTGCTGCCTCTGACTTGGAGTAATCACAGGCTCTGAAATCTCAAAGGTCTTCACAATCTCCTGGCAGACAATAATGAACATTTAGGCACTGGGTTTACAGAAAGTGAAGTCAGAGTCAGAACTATGCAGGGGCAACAGGCAGAGCTTTACCTCCCAGTCACGGTAACTCAAAGCTATAATTCCTTGATTCCTAACTTGTGTGTTATGTTCAAATCCCTCATTTTCTTCATTAATACTAACAGGCTCTGTTTGAAAGACAAATTTTTCAAATTTATCAAAGGTTATTAAATCGGAACAGGTAATCTAAACGGAAACTGATGTATAATAGCAATGAAATCTGTATTGAAAAGATACTTATAATATTACACACTTTTTAGGATTTCATGCATTATGGAGCTGCTGCAGTATTATTACAGTAGTCAGTCATCCCATCTGTTTCCATTTAAAAAAACATGTAGTAGAGTAACACATTCGAGACATTTGAAAATCTGCATATCTATGTGTCAACCACAGAGCTAAGCCCTAGTGAGTCCAATAGGACACTGAGAACATCGAAAGTAGCAAGTAAGTGCGATGGAAATATTATCTCCACAGGAGACCTTAGGAGGACATGAGTAATGGAGAGTGTGAAATTATTCAGGTAAGAATGAAAGATTCATAGAACCTCAAGGAGAAAAGAAGGGGCTGGCATCTGACAAAACGTGATTAGAAAGAGGGATACTACAAAAATGACTGCAGTCATTTCTAAATTAAGATCTGAGGGAAATTATATCATTTCTTTGTTAATATTTACAGCAGATATTGAATCAATGATATAGATGAATCCATCAAATTTTAGACGCTGGCCATGTTTTCAGTGTCTTCAGGTAGTTGAGCAAGATACAATATTGTAAACGTTAATCTACATTGAAAATTCATTTACATTTAGTAAAATACTTAAATTCTACTAACAAATATATTTTCTCTAAAACTAATTTTTCCAAACATAGTATCATTTACCTATTATTGGCAGTCGGTCTTGGTCAAGTCTTATTCTTGCAAAACCATCCTAAAACGAAAACATGATTTTAGGAGAAGACAAACATTTAAGACTCAAACCTATAACCACTAGATGAAAAAAATTACTCAGAAAATTCAGTATCTCAGAAAATCAAATTATACCATAGCAATAATGTGATGATATAGATAAGACTTCCCTAATATCTTTTGTTTACACAGGGTATCTTTTGGGTTTCTAATCAGCTCTTTCACCCAGACACAGCCTCCATCCTGAGAATCTCTTAAGTGAAACTCATCTTGTCTCTTTAACTGATTTATATATATTTTGGAATACTCCACATTTTATTCTGCATAATTCTGTCACTGGAACCACTGGCAAAATATGCCTTTTTTATTATTTCTGAGAAAATACTTTGGTCGACATAAGCTTTTCTCTAAGGTTAAAATCAAATTCATCTTACATGTGGGAATGCAACCTGAAGTAAGATTAAAGACAGTCTAAAGTAAATTTCCATGGTACAATTCTGAGTAGAGTTTTAAAACCAATTTTGAAATAATTTCAGACTTAAAGGGCTATAAAACTACTAAAACACATGCCATATATCCTTTATCCATATTCATCAGTCATTAAAGTGTTAGTTACCACGTTTACTTTATCACTCTACATACTATTATTTATGAATGAAGTGAGAATGATAGGCGGCCTGCTTCTTTTCCCTAATCTTTCAGTGTGTATTTCTTGAGAACAAGGATATTCTCTTATACAACATGACAACTATCAAATTCAGGAAATTTAACATTTATACCATACTGTTACCTAATCTACAGTTCCATATTCAAATTTTTCCAATTCTTTCTCTACATAATGTCTAAAACATAAAAGCAAGCACATAAAATTTTAGCTAGCTTCTTCTACCTAATATGCCAATTAACGTTTTGCTACAATGCCTCTGAAACATATACTGGCTAGTGTATACAGATACCTTTGCCAGCTCCCTTCTACAGCTTTTCTTATGTATCCTTTTAAAAGCATATAAAAGCAATTAGAAAAATAATCTTTAATCTTACCCGTATAATGAAGGAAACATGAAAGATGTTTTCCACTGTACGGGGGAAAGAATGAGGATCAACCACAAAGTCAAAGAAGGACATTGGGGTATCAGCTATAGACAAAAAGAGAAAAAAGATTTGATTTTTCTTTATCGTTAATATCAGTATACTGTAGCATTAGCCAGAGACAAAGAAAGGGTGTGCACTCATCCTGCTGCAGGAGTGCAAATCAATCCAACCCTTCTGGAGGCCAATCTGGCATCTCCACTAAAAACATGTATGCTCACTGACCTGGAAACCACCTCTAAGAAGCTGTCCTACAGCAACATGAGTGCAAGAACACAAAATTACATGCTAAGATTTTTTACTTCAGCAATTTATACAAGAGTAAAATGCTATAAAGAACTTATTCATCCAGCTGGGCATGGCGCTCACGCCTGTAATCCCAGTGCTTTGGGAGGCCGATGCTGGCAGATCACCTGAGGTCAGGAGTTCAAGATCAGCTTGGCCAACATGGCGAAACCCTGTCTCTAACTAAAAATACTGAAAAAAATTAGCCAGACGTGGCGTGCACCTGTAATCCCAGCTACTCGGGAGGCTGAGGCAGAAGAATTGCTTGAACCTGGGAGGTGGAGGTTGCAGTGAGCTGAGATGGTGCCACTGCACTCCAGCCTGGGTGACAGAGTGGATCTTTTTCAGTTAAGAAGAATGGAAGAATCTCATCAAGAAGCAACAGAGAAAGAATAGAAAGAATCTTGGGATTGTTGCAGACATTTTCAAGAAGATCGTAAGTGTACACACCATTCAAAGTGGAGCAATTGTATTAATCTGTTTCACAGTGAGGTTACTTGGATTTTAAAGCAGTTTCAGCGTGTATGTAAGTTTGAATAAATGGCATATTCCATTTAATGAGGATTCTTCTCCCTTTAGAAATCATGTGAAAAGTTTGAAGTTAACTTTTTCATTTTTATCTTTTGTTACAAAATGAAATATGCATTCAAGTGAGAAATGCAAAGTACCGTTCCCCTCCCCCCCTCCCTCATTATAAAATGTAAGTGTATATTTCAGATTTTTTTTTTTTTTTTTTTTTTTTTTTGAGACGGAGTCTCGCCTTCGCGCCACAGGCTGAGTGCAGTGGCCGGATCTCAGCTCACTGCAAGCCTCCGCCTCCCGGTTTACGCATATCTCACCTGCCTCACCTCCCGAGTAGCTGGGACTAACAGCGCCACGTCGCTTGGCTAAGTTTCCATATTTTTAGTAGACGTGGGGTTTCACCGTGTCAGCCAGGATGGTCTCGATCTCCTGACCCCGTGATCCCCGTCTCGGCCTCCCAAAGTGCTGGGGATTACAGGCTGAGCCACCGCGCCCGGCCAGATATTTTATCAGTTTTATACCACCCTACCTAATAGTTTGTTTGGGCCAGGCATGGTGCTCATGCCTGAAATCCCAGCACTTCGGGAGGCCTAGGCAGGCGGATCACCTGAGGTCGAGGTTCGACACCTGCCTGACCAACATGGAGAAACTCTCTCCTAAAAAATACAAAATTACCCTGATGTGGTGTTGCCTGTAATCCACTAGCTACCCCCCTCGGGCCGGAGAGTGATGGCAGGAAATTCGCGTGAACCCGGGAGGTGAGTGCATGAGCTAATCGGTAGCCATTGCACTCTACCTGCAAAACAAGAATGAAACTCTGTCCTCAAAAAGATTGTTTTTTTCTTTTTTCCAAGCTAATCATTAGATGCACATTCTTCTGCTATGCGACTTTTCCAGTGGACATTCTCCATATTATTTTCCATATAATGATCTCCATTATTTTTCACCGATTCCCATTATATGGCTTGGCGTAACATGTATAACAGACCCTCCATAAGGTTTTTTCTTTTTTTTTTTCTTTTAAGTAAGAAAGTCTTCTCGCTCGTGTCGTGCCGGCGCTGGAGTGCAGTCGTGCAATGCTCAGCCCGCTCACTGCAACCTTTCCTCCTGGGTTCATACCCAATTCTCCTGCCTTTCAGCCCCCAATAGTACTGGGACTACAGGGGCCCGCCACACGCATGGCTAATTTTTTTGTATTTTAAGTAGAGCCTGGGTTTCACCGTGGTAGCCCAGAATGGTCTCGATCTCCGACCTTGTGATCCACCCGCCTTGGCCTCCCATAGTGGGCTCGGATTACAGGTGTGAGCCACTTGCGTGCCGGCCCAAGTCCTTTTTTTTTTTTTTTTTGGAGACAGAGTCTC